ACCCCTTCTACATGTTGATCAGCTCAGTGGATACACATAAAACATCCACCTGACGGAACCGCAGGTTCTCTTTCACACACACATGCGTATTTAGGCGGACCGTGATATGTCAAATACGGAGTTTTAAGACCGCCAGGCCTCTGTACCTTCACAGTTGGTTTTGCCCAGAAATCGGACAGTGTGATTCCTGCCTTGAAAAAGGTAACTTGGAACTGTAAACTCAGCTGGAATGTCTCCAACCTTGTCCTAGTTTTGTAGAAAATCGTCTACATATGCTGCCAGGGCGCAAAGTCCGCTTCATGTTGGCTGACAGACCAAAGCAGCTGGACCTTTGAAAGTTACGACCTCCAGCGTGTGGGTGCAGTACGTGCATCTAGTATTATCATAGCGACTTGCGTGGCGTTGTCGTCTACCGCCTTCCTATCCTGCTCTGAGGTGAGCACAGCCTGAATGGCGCAGGTGTCCAGACAGTGACACCTGCCGCCACCTGCGGTTGAAGGCACACATTGGACAACTTACGGTTCTCCACAGGCTCTATCTGGACCGCTTTAATACCACAGCTAGTACACCAAATCGAAACTGACAGATCGAGGAGCCCATGGCTCAGTGGTTAGAGCATTGAACTTCTAACCAACCAGCCGCGGGTTCGATCCTCAGAGCCTGCACAATCTGGGGTTGGGAATGACAGGATGATTACAGCGAAGAAGCCAGAAATGGTCATTTCCCTCGCCCTTGCCTTTGTCGGTAATTTTATCTATCTGAAAACCTCCAGCCTTCCAGGCCATCCCAACCTCTTGGCAGTCTTGCATCGTTTTTTAGTGCTGTTCGCTGCGCCATCTTCTAATTTCAAATATTGACTCTTTTTTCGATTACTATCGTATATCTTCGTAACTGTACCGATATCACCACGGCTGCTGTCCTTCCCGTTTTGCAGCTTTACGGCTTCAGGCCGCAACTGACACCCTCAGAGGATAATTCCCTCGCCTTTACTGGGCCCACCAATGAACGTTGGGCCAGCATTGACGGGGACGCAGATCGTCTCATCTACTTCTACCCCGATCCAGTGCCGGGCTGCGCAGAGCGTGTGGAGCTCATTGATGGTGATCGCATCGCTGTCCTCTTTGCCTCCTTCATTATCCGTGAATTGAAGCGACATACTCCTATGCCCAACCTACGACTGGGTGTTGTTCAAACCGCCTACTCCAACGCTGCGGCAACTACGCATCTGCGGCGCGACCTCGATGTTGAGGTGGCCTACGCCAAGACCGGGGTCAAGTACCTGCATAAGACTGCGAAGACTTTCGATTTCGGGATATACTTTGAGGTAAGTAAGCCCGCACTCTTCACCCTACCTCACCCCCTCCTACGCAGCTTCATCTTACAGTAGTGAAAGGCTAACCGGTTTCGAGTAGAAAGCAGTACTTCGGTGAGGTTGTAAAATTGATTAACATGCAGCTGAATCTTGAGATATTTCAGTCACACCGGAATGCCGGCTTAACAGTGCGCCTATTTCTGACCGCCTAAAAAAACCCACGCACATGCCTAAAATGATCACTTAATTAGAGTGCATATTCTCAAATTTCCTTAAAAATCTAAACATATGTTATTTTAAAAAAATATGAATTCAAACTTGCTTTTTCGTATTTTTGATTTTGTAGTACATGATGTCTGCCTCAAATAGTCTCTTCAAATACCTGGCACCATTTATTTAATTGATATTTTGGCAGATTTGAGATGATTTCCATTGGACCCAATTAGGAAAAACTCGGTGGGATTCGAACCCATGTCAAAACTCTTGCCAACTGAGCTACGAGGCCCCCGCCGGGAGCCAGTTGGCTTTAATCACACTTGCGGCAAACTAGTCGTATGTTGGAAAGGCTGCCTACTGGTGAATAGAAGCGGAGTCTCGGGCAGAGCTTCCTGGTCTGAAACCTCAGTTCTGATTGAGAATACGAAGGACAAACTGTGCGCTCCTGCCAGCCAGTCGACAAAATCGGGTGTCCTGGTGCGGTAAAATTCTAGTGCAAAATTACCTGACTGGCCTAGATTTATGAGCGATGGAAAAATTTTAGGGAAGCAGCGACGCGAGGTGCGTGTGTGCTTGCGTGCGTCCACTCGCGTCCTGTCAATTGACGTCATGCCGTGCACCCCGAGAGTTGAGTCACCTGCGACGGCGGACACATTCAGTTGACAGGGAGTGTTAAGCGGACTAATGACTACTGCCATACAAGCGTGCGCAATCACGCCATGAAAGTATGCCTTCGTGCCGCGCCAGCTATTCCGTCCAAGCCTAATACCATCCGGCTTTCAGATCCGAACGTTAGACCAATTCATAAGAAGGGGAATATACAGATAGAGAGACC